GGATGAAAATGAGACGGTGATTAAAAATAATACTTTTGGAGAAGCAAAAATGACCACTAAAAAATTTAAAAGGAATGGACAATTAATGGAGGTGATTTAATGAAAAAAAAAATTAACATAAAACGTTAATACTCGATGCGTGTTTTATATCCCAACAAAATACCCCCCATAGTTGCCTCAAAAATTTATCCTTATCATATTAACATACCACTCAATTATACTAGAGATGCGAATGGGATGGTAAGACTAGAACAAAACGATATCTCGAAAAATCACGATATCCAAAATTTTTGATTGAGATCTCGTTTTGGTCCGATCTCTCAATTAGACTCTTTGAAATTAGGTATTTCGGTAATAAATAAATTTATTTTTATTATTTTATACCAGGGATCCCTTCTTCTCGATTCCCAAAAATCAGAAATTTATTTTTATGTCGACAGGATTCTTGTTGTATATACCTAGGTAATACATATTCCAGGGATGTCACAGGTTATGAATAGTTGAGGAGGGTTTTATGTCGAAAAATCCGGTTTTCGGGTAACTCGTGATATCCCACACATATTCTGCTTATTAATTAAATAATTATTTTTTAGCCAACTAAAGCAACAAAAAATAATTGTACTAGTCGATTTTGTAGTAATACAACAGACTGTCCTAGTGAGCGAAGGACTAAATTTGTGCCATTTTCTATTAACCAAATTTCGTTATTGTTGCTGGCAATATTTATTTTGTTTGTTGGATTGAAATGTAAGTGTTTTTGAATATTCTAATTTTGCAGTAAAATTGTAGTAAAATTACTCAACACATTGGAGTAAAATAAACGTCCATTTTCATTAGAGTAACCAAATTCTAAATAAAAATTTTAGACATTAGTGTTATAATATCCACTAAAGTATTTACTAAAATATGACAATAAAATAGCATAAACCGCATTTAAAAGTTGTAAAATCAAAATGTGCTTTTACTATGATTTGTGGGTAGTATTTTTTCGGACGGTGTTTTGCCCCTTATTTATAGTTTTTAAATATTTTTTTTTAACTTTAAAATTTGCAATCGTTAATTTTATTTTTACACAATACTTTGAATTAAAAAATATTTTAATTTTTCCAATTTCAACTTTTTTTTCCTCTTAATTTTATTCGCAAAGTTGTATATTTTTAATTAAATTAAATAAAAAATTTCTAAAAAATTTTTTTAAATTTCTTAATGCATTTTTATTCAACTTTTATCTTTTTTTCTCGATTTTTTATTTTTCTGTTTTTATTTCCTCTAAATAAATCTTTTTATTATTTTTTAACAAAAAAGTTGGATTACTTAATATATATTAAAATTATTTAATTATTTTATAAGTTTAACGAAGTAACAAAAGTCGTCCTGATGTCCGATTCTGCATGTGTTTATTTTTGGAAGCTATAGCATGCTTTAGCTAAAATTAAATGCTTTTTCATTTTACAATTGTCTATCAAACTTTATTTAATACTCAAATTCAAATTTATTAATATATAATTATTCATAAATTTATTAATAAATTTAACGATATAATTATTTTAAATACGTCCTTTATTCAGTTTTATCATGAGTATTTTTGGAAGTTAAATCTTGCTTTAACTAAAAATTTATTTTACAGTAAAATTTTAATCTAATCTAATTTTTAGATGATCCGTCTGCGCTGAATTTTATGTTATAATGCTAGAGAATTTTATATAGGAATCAACATTCTAGGCAGCTTTCTCCACGTATTAACCAACCTAATTTTAAATAAGCATCTATATTATTATGTAATCTTGCCCTCAAACTACTTAATAAACTATATTATACTTATTTTTTTATTTCATAAGTTTATTGATATACATAGGTAGTAAGCAATTTGATGACCAATTGTTCGATTATTTTTGCAAGCTAAAGCCTGATTTAGCTATAATTAAAGTATCTCAATAAAAATATCAAGCTTTGCTATGGTTAATCTATTATTATTTCTATCTTTATTATAAAACTTCATGTGCGTCATTAAATTATTTTACCGTATTTCCTAAAATAGAATCTCACGTGGCTCTATTTTTCCTACCCTCTAAGGTGAATTTCTATTTCAAGTGTAGGGCTTTATTTTAGGAAATACCGTATCTATCTAAATCTTGTTTTATAGAGGTCAGACCTCTTTTAGACCTCTTTTACCTTTTTCCGTCATTTAAGAGAGGTGTCCGAGACTTTATTTTTAAGGACCATTCAAACCTATTTCAAATTCCTTCCAAATTCCTTTCCTCCCCTTCTTTTCACCTTTCAAAAAACATTCCATTTTACCTAAACCAATCTGTGCGGCATTAAAATATTTTTATATATTTACGTGCAATTAATACTTCTTCAAATAAATATTCAATAACCCGCTTTTTATCTTTTTTAAAAATGGCAGACGCGCCATTGACCTCGACGGGGGGTTTTCAGACGAAAGAAAAGAAAAGTTATGGTGGCCGTCACAGCTTGTTGGAACCGAAATGGAATGAAAAAAAGAGTGAAAGTAAATGAGAATAAAAGTTGAAAAAAAATACAAAAACTTGTTTTTGTTGTCAGATGTTTGTAAAAATAAATGAAAGAGAAAAGAATTTGAAGGGAGAAAAAAGATGAGTTGTGATTTGGTATTTATGTGTGTGTCTGGATTAATTGATAATTAATGGGGGGATTAAATGTGGAAAAAAATATAAAATAATAAATAATGAGAATAATTGATTTGGAAAATTCTTGTAAAGATAAAAAAAATTTAGGGAAAGTGAGGAATTTTTTTTTTAAATTTTTGGAAATTTTTTTGTTTTTTATTTTTATTTTCTAAAATAAATTTTATTTTTTTTGTCAAATATTAGTCAGATCTCATTAAAAATTAAACCTAAATTAGAATAATTCTCAAGTTGATTTACGTTTTATTTTTGGCTAGTGGAGAACAAACACTTCATTGAGGATATTTTTGACCCTCGCAAATATTGTACCCATACTAATGTATGTATATATTCTAGTTTTAAGTACTCTTACTCTATCTCTCTCTTACCATACTTATTCACACTTAACACAACTGCTTAATGACACTCGAGAGGATAACCCTTGAGAGTGACCCTAGAGAGTCATTAATGACTCTTAATAACCCTCGAGAGTGGAGCATTAAGCAAGTTTTGAAATTTTAACGTGTGTTAAACCGTATCAACTTTTTAATATTTACGTCTATTCGTGGTAATTTTACATCGAACTTCTGTCACTTTTTTCATATTTCAGCAAATATTTTTGGAAGCTTTGATAAAAAACAAGGCTAACATTAATTTGATATGAGTAAATAATTATTGTTTAGCCTACTGGAGATAGATCAATTATTCGAGACAACATAATTACTTGAGTAAATAGTTTTTAGGAGCATCTTTGGGCTATTTATCTTTAACTATTTTTATTTTTTCAGGCGTATCCGCAGGAAAGATGGATGTTGACAACGATATTGAAGAGGGGGAATTCCTTCACACTTTTATCAAAAGTGATGATAATGAAAATCATCAAATTACCGAAGAACACCATTTCGATGAAGAAATGCCAACACCACCAACTTTAATACCTTCGTTTCTGTCAGGACAAGATCCTTCTGATTCAACAGAAAGGTTGGTAAATTATATTTTTATTCATCTTCAGGTCAGGTATTCCCCTTAAACATATTAAATTTTCAATTTTTATTTTTATTTATATTCATTTTTATAATGAATATTGTTGAAACGCATTTTGTTGAATTATTTTTGGATGCCTTGATAAATACAAGGCTAATTTTAGGTCTATTAATTGGACATGAGTCTCAAAAACAAGTATAGAATGTTTGTGGATAATGAATCCAAAGCTATTATGTATACTTCAATTTGTTTTTTAGTCTGTTCTAGCAATAACGTCTGTCTAGAAAATTTACCCCTTCAGTTAGAGTTCCGCTTATAATGGCCAGAGTAAACAATTAAACTATAATAGATATTGAGTTTTTATTGAGCTCAAAGATTTAGGGGGCTTCATTAACTCACAAACTAGACCTAGACCGATATTTTATTAAATCTGAATCCACTTTTTTCTAAATTTTGAATTTATATCACAATTTACCTAAATTTCTTTTAAATTTTAGTTCAACAAAATCAACAACAACAACAAAAACCACAACAAAAACTACAAAAAAGACAACAACAACCACAACAACTACCGAAGCTTCAACTGAAACAGCAACAATAGATCGTGAAAAACAAATGTTAAAATCGGCTGAACGTTCATCTTTACTAAATAGAAAGCCAACCAGAAAAAGAGTTGCAGGAGAATGCAACGATTTACATGGTTGGGAATTTTGTTTAAATTGTTTCTAAACGTAAGGTTTTAATGGTCAATTCTTATTTCTAGTGATCTGATTTAAATGGATTCCCATATCTCTCCCTGGCCCTTTTGGGGTTTGAATAGTGTTGGCACAGTTCGATACTATAGCGGTATTACCAATGGTATTGGAAAAAACTTCGTTTTAGCATATTTTAATGAGGTGGTTTCTGTCAGACATGGTCATGGATATGGATACAGAAACCTCCCTTATATTTTATTATATATTTATTAAATAAAACTTTAAAAAGAAAGCTTTCCTTTTAATTGGTGGATCGGCGCGCCCAAAGGGTGGGTCACCACTCTTGGGGCCCAGCGCCGACTAACTCCTTGAAAAGGGGTTAGGATAATAATAATATGATTAAGCATTTAAAATATTTTTTGTTAAAGCAAACTTTAACATACAAAAATAATAACAAGAATAATCTTTAAATTTAAAGAATCTAACTTTTTACTTACAAATTATCAGAAATTAAAATTTTATCAGAAATTAAAAAGAAATTAAAATTTTAGATCTCTGTAAATTTTGGACATCAATTGGTGAATGTAAAAATAACAAGGATTGGATGCGGGATCATTGTCCTGTTAGTTGTGATGTTTGTACTAATGGTAAAAAGAATAAATATTTTTTGAAGTAGATGAGTATAATATGTCGAATTTTTAAAGGATCATCAGTTTGTGTCGATCGTCATCGTCTCTGTGATTTTTGGGCATCTATGAAAGAATGTGAAACAAATGCTGTTTGGATGCTTGTAAATTGTCCCCGTTCTTGCAAGGTGAAAAAAATTTTCTGAAATAAACTTTTTTTTAATTTGGAGCTCGCTTTAGCCTGGGTACTGCGAAAATTATCCAAATTTCTAAGTGAGAATAATAAATTATTCATATGACATTCGTAAATATGACATGCCTTATCTCTTATGTCCCCAGATAGATGGATCTTGCCTCCCTTACACTAACTACTTAACATTAGTTATTTTAACTTTAATTTAATCTATGAAAGATTTTTTTTGAAAAAATTAGTGAGTAAATGAGACTTGAGATTATTTTTTGGAAGCCCGTCTCAGACTATATTGAGTCTTAAGAATTGACTAATATATTCCACGACGAGAGGGACCTCTGACGAGACTACCGGACACGATATTCCCCAGCTCTTGAATATTATTTTTTTAAATTTTGAGTTATTTTTCTCGAAAAACCCTACCACCTTTATCTAACAATTAAAAAATATGTATTTTGTTTAAATAGCTATGTAAAGGAGCTTCTGCAAAACGAGCGGAATTAGGAATATTTGAGGAATCTGACTGTACTTTTGTCTCAACACATGAAGGTTAATATATTTATTTAAAAATTTTATTATATTCGAGTTTTGGAAAATCTGAGTTTCAAAAATCTGAGGTTCTGTTTCCTTTTTAGATACCACAATTCGTCGAACAATTTCTACATCAGATGTTCGTGTAAGCAACAATGCTTTTGGTTGTTCTCCTGCATTAACTAGACCAAATTGTAACAAAAATCTCTGCTACCATTTAAAATTCCGAACTTTAGATGGTTCGTTTATTTATTAATTTTGGCCAAGTTGGGCAACTAGAAAACATTTTTTGATACCTTTCTAGGAATAATATAAATTATTTTGTTTATAGAGTTTAATAAACATTTTTGTTGGATCAATGTTAAAGTAGAACCTTGAGCATATTAGTTGTTATTTTTGCAAGCCAGAACATTGTTCTATGCTATAAATATTTTTTTGTAAAATTTTAACACGGTTCGTAAGATAACGATAATACCCGTAAATGGGTTTGGTCATCAAGGACCGCGATATTAACATAATTAACATTAAAATTTATAGCCCTGAGCATCTCATTTTCTTCAAGATCACTTCAAATAAAATTTATTTTGAATTTAGGAACTTGTAACAATTTGGAAAAGCCTTTGTTTGGTGCGGCATTTATGCCTTTGGCTAGGTGAAAAATTTTTTTTCGATACAATTAGGGTTGCCAAAATGGACTGACTCGGACCGAAAGATCGAGTCATGCCTCGATGTTTGGCCCGAAAAAGTCTCGTACCGGCCCGACTCGATAAATTTGTGCCCGAAAAAGACTCGTAACGGCCCGACTCGATAAAGTTAGGCCCGAAAGTGACTCGTACCGGCCCGACTCGATAAAAACAGGCCCGAAAAAAATTGTCTCGGAAAAAGTCGGCCCGACTCGAACAAGACTCGATAATATTTTTACCAGATTTGTGGACAAAAATGGGAGAAATCTGGCTCCTTGGCCTTCCAAAATTCGGAAAATTTTCGCCTGCGGCGCTGAAAAAAGAAGAAATTTGGTCCTTAGCCTTCCGAATATCTCAAAATTTTTGCCTGCGGCGCTGAATAAAGGATTTTTAGCTCCATACTTTGCTTCACATCTCGAACTTACTGGCTTTAATCGATAAGCTGGATTACTGGGATTTATAGGATATATTCCGCGGGATCCCATCATCATTTGAACTTTCGAAACTCAATCAGTTTTGAGTAGAGTTGTACCCCGACCCCGTACCCCGAACCCCGACCCCGTTCCCGAACGATTTTTTCACGATTCTCCCCGACCCGAACCCCGCCCCGAAACATTTCGAAAACCCCGTACCCCGACCATAAAAGTTTCGGGGTTATCGGGGTTTTATACAGCCAAAAAATGCCATTTTTGTGAGAATTTTAAGAGAAAAATTTTAAAAATTTCCTCACAATTTACTTTGCCTTTATTATTTTTGAAAGAAAAATGAATGAAATATCAAAATTTTCTTTCATTCTAAATTAAGAGACTTGTGGTTGAGTGGCTTAGTTGTTGGTTTTAGCCTATATTTCCATTAATATAGGATTGGGTTCGGATCCATATAAGGATAACTCTTTTGTTTTTATATTTCTTTACAAAAACAATTATTAACGAGTTAAATTTTAATTTTAAAATATTAATTTTATTTTTAACTGATATCCCTTGAACGACCCTTAATCCTTCAAACCCCTTGTATCACCAGTAAGGGGTTCCCAACCATAACAGTTGGAAAACTATCGAGGTCCTGTTAACGGGAATCAGAGATATAAAGGAATTTGTAGTATATCGAAGAATTAAGGAGTTATAAAGGGATTTAAAGGGATATAAGGTTTAAATTAAAATGGATTTGAAAGAATTACGTGAATTTAACGGAATTAACAAGGATTTCGTGGGAGATCTAAGGATTAATCCAAGATATCTCCTGATATCCGTCCAAATACCCTTATCCGCAATACTTCAATATTCTTATTAATCACTGATATCCCTTGAAACAACAAAAATCACTCCAGATCACCTTGCACCCCTAGATATACCATTTAATCCCTAAAAATCCCGCTTAATCCCTCCATATCCACTTATATCCCAAGTTATACACTTTAATCCCTTCAAATCCCCTCTAATTTCTCCAAATCCTACTTAATTTTTGAATAAATTAGCGAAAATATACCGAGATCTGATTATTTTTGAGCATTTTTTTCTCTAAAAATTTTTTCCCTAAAACCCCGTACCCCGACCCGAACCCCGGTCATATTTTGCTCCCCCGACCCGAACCCCGCCCCGAAACAATTGGAAAACCCCGTACCCCGACATACCCGCCCCCGAACGTTCGGGGTACAACCCTAGTTTTGAGAGTCCACAATTTTCCGCAGTCCGCAATTTTAACTTCAAAATACACAGTCGTAATCTTCAGTCCACGAGTCAAAAACACACAATCTTACGCAATCCGCAGTCCACCATCCGGGATATAAGGTGTAATCTGGGAATATAAGGCGGTTTGAGTGATTAAGTCAAGGGCGTATCCAGGGGTCCAAAATTCTCAAAGTTTTCGCCTGCGGCGCTAAAAATAGAAGAAATCTGGTTTCCTGACTTTCCAGTAAGCCCTTATCTAAATCCGAATAGTTAAATCATGGTACACTGGGATTTTATTAAGGGATTTGGTGATTAACGCACGATTTCACTTAAATCTTGCGTTATCCTTCAAATCTCCGATATCCATTCAAATCTCTTCAATCCTTTTAAATCCCATTACAATATAGCACCTTAATTATCTAATATGCGATCCTATCCCCTTAATTATCTGATCTCCTTTAATAAAACCAAATCTAGCAATATCTCACACCAATCCTCCGATCATTTAAATCACCTTAATCCCTCAAATCCACTGATATCCATTTCAATTCTCTTCAGCCCTTCCTTTACCTTCCAGATCCATCGATATACCTTTTAATTCACAGATATCCCTCCAAATCCACTAATTATTTTTAAATAAATCTTTTAAAAAAAGACTCGAAAATGTCTCGATGCCCGACTCGATAAAGTCAGGCCCGAAAGTGACTCGTTCCGGCCCGACTCGATAAAGTTAGGCCCGAAAAAGACTCGTATCGGCCCGACTCGATAAAGTAAGGCCCGAAAAAGACTCGTACCGGCCCGACTCGATAAAAACAAGCCCGAAAAAAAATGCCTCGACCGTCGGCCCGACTCGAAAACGGCAACCCTAGATACAATAATCTATTTCAATTTCAAGACTAAAAAAACCTGTTTACGATGACAAGATGGCAGCTCCTGTTGGTATATTATTTTTAAATTTTATAGGGGCAATACACTTTCCGACGAAATAACGTTCAGTCATTAAAAATTTATGAAAGTATTATGTATGTTATCCTAATATATTTAGAGCTTACATCCATTATTATGACTAGAGTTCGGATTAATATGGAGTTACATATTTTTTCCTGGCCTCATGTTTTCGAGATTTTTGTCCATCATAGTACAGGGTGATTTTGGGTCACCCCGGTTTCTTTTGGGTCACCCTGTATATGTCCATCTTTTTCCATTGCTATATAAATCCAAACCATAATTATTGTACGTCCAAAAATTTTAAAATTTATTCAACTAAGCAAAATTAACGGTTAAACTGTTAATTTTTAAACTCTAATTTGTGACGGTATTGTTGTCGGACAGCTCTTTGTACCTACACGAAAAACATAACTAATATCAATTTCTTATCTCATCATATTTTCTAGCTTCAATTAATCATTTGAAACCTTCCTCAAGAGAAGCAAGCAGATTAGTTAGTTAATTTTTCTGAGTATTAAGTAAGCTTTTAAAATTAGATGCTCAGTTCAACAGCAGAAATTCCAACAAAATGGAATGCTCTCCTTATGCAATGGGGACAATTTATTGCCCACGATGTTTCCAAAACTACAATGTTAAATAATCAAGTAAATTAATGGAAAATTATTCCGATCCAGAAATAATCCGGAGATCGTGAAAAACTACGGGATTTTGGACCCGGACTCAGAAAAATCGGGCTGTTATGTATCGACTTGCGGTGTGTCCGATACTAACAGAAAGACTAGACTAACTAATGAGGTTTATCACGAAACTAACAATAGAATAAGCGCGACTATACGCTGGAGTAGAATACTAACTTTGACTACGGACTAAGACTGACTAACTGGCGACTCCCCGACTACTAAAAGTCTGCGCCTTTTATACTAAGCGCGTCACCCTAACACGGGCACTCATTTAAGATTTGTAGAACAATTTATTTTTGTTTACATTTACAGATCTGTGCAAGTTGTCTTCCAGAAGGCGGTACTTGTTTTCCTGTAATGCTTAGCCGTCTGGATCCAACGTGAATAATTCTAAAATTTATTTTTTAAAGAAAAATTTTGTGATATAATTTAAGATTTGGCCGTTTTCTCTGCCTTCCGGTTGCTCGCTCGTCTCCTGTAAATAAGAAAATTAAAGTGAAAAAATTATTTCTTCAATTTTCAGGTCTGCGGAACAGGAGAAGACAATAATGTTCGTCAGCAATACAATGAGAACACAGCCTTTATTGATGGATCTATGGTAAGCATTGGGGCCCGGATCGGATCCGGGTGGATTTTTTGGGATTTTGAGTCAAGTTCCAAAATCCGTCTCCATAAAATTTATAGCCGCGAACGATGTTCCGGCTTACAAAAATAAAAGCTTCGCCTCAAAAGTACAAATTCAAATGCTTAGAAAAAACTAATGCTTATTAAAATTTAAAAACAAAACAATTTATATCACTCAAGAAAGGTGTTAAAATTAATTTTTTAGTTACCATAATTACTAAAAATTAATAATTAAACCATCAAGGGTTTATAATTTCAAATGATAGCAGAGATTTTTGTTACAATTATGCTTACATGCCTGATTAATGCAGAGAATTTTATGTAAACACAAAGCATTAGCGCAAAAATATAAAATTTTTCAAAAGATTTTTCAAGAAATTCTATGAAAATCAGGTTTCGGGAAAAAATAATTTTTCGAGCACTATTAAGAATAATATTTAAAAACTGTCCCGACATTCTGGTAATGCATGTTTTAGTAGATTATCTATTACATATGAATTATTGGAATAGATTTTTGTATACATATTTATTTAACTTAGTAATCACATTATCTGGTATATCTTTGTCGAAGCTTAATTTTTTGGATGCCTAATATTTCTTAGGCAAGTAATATGCAATAAAAGATACAAAATTTAAAAAATCAAAACATACTAATAACTAATATACCGTATTTCTAATAGTGCGACCGGTCGGATTATCTTTAAACCATCCTCTAGAGGTTGTTTCAGTGCTGGGTATTAGGCTCGAATAAACCTAATAGTTGGCTCCAGCTCCGTGATTTTCAAATTCTCAGCTTCGGATTTGCCGGAGCGACTCCCGGAGCCAAATACAACACTGATCGGTTTATTATGGGGGGTTCGGTCTAATAGAGAGAGTCGCACTATTAGAATAAATACGGTAATTATCTAAAGGTTTATGGAAGCAGCCATCGAGACCAATTTGTTTTTCGCCAAGGTGCTTTTATGAAAACAAACGTCCTTCGTTCCCGTGTATTTCCTCCTGTCGACAATAATCAAAATATTATTGCTGGGGATGATAGAGCGAATATTTTTGTTGGTTTAGCTGCTTTGCATACTCTTTTTGTTCGCGAACATAATCGGTTGGTTTATGAAAAATATATTTTTGGTTGTTATGTACCAAGGATCTATCCGGATTGATAAACGAAAATATTAATTTACGCGATCCTTCGTATTAATTAATAGATTAGAGTTTTGTTAATAATATTTCTATTTGTAGCCATCACCACGATTTTTTTAATAATCCTGTTTATTTTTTTGGGTGCCTAATATTCCTTAGGCAATTATTTAATCTCTAACCGATCCGATTTCCGTCGAGTTTGTCAAGTACAATGATCCATCTTATTATAAACTTTTCGACCTACTTTTATTGCTTTAAAGAATTGCTTTGCTTCTTCAAAAAGTGAATCCGCATTGGGATCATGACAGAATTTATTTGGAGACTAGAAGAATTGTTGGGGCTGTTATACAAGTATTTAATTATTAAATGATTTTAGAGAATTTTCTGTTAATTTTCAGAAAATAACATATGAAGATTATTTGCCTAGGCTTTTTGGAAAAAAATTTGATGAACTTATTGGAAAATATAAGGGATATAATCCTAAAGTTGACCCCTCTATTTTTGTAGGTTTTATTTACATAAATAGATTTATTTTTGGGGTATTTTCTGCTTTATAGTAATTAATTAAACTATGGTCTTGTTTAAATTCCTAAGTTTTTCCATATTATGTGGGCATTCTTCGAGACAAAACGTCTATTTTTGGAAGCCAAGTTATACGTAGTTGGCTAATTTGTTCTATCAAACTAATTTATAAGGGATATTTCTAGAATACCTGGGTCTTTTTTGGCTACTATTTTGATTTTTTGGAAATCTCGATAAGAGGAAAAGAAGAGAGAGAGAGTTTCGAAACTACCTTACCTCCAAATCCTTTATTATATTTTTTTTAAATTTTTAGAATGAATTTACAAGTTGCGCATTTCGGTTTGGTCATGGAATGATTCAAGTGCTTTGCTTTTTTATTTGAAAATTTTTATTTTTTCAGGAATTTTATCCTTTTTTTAATCAAGAATTTGCACAAATTGGTATAAAAAATTTAAAAAAATATTTTTAATAAATTTTTGTTATTTTTGGGTGGAATACCATTCAATGAAGGAATGTTTAAATCTGTCCATATTTTGTAAGGCAAAAAATTTTTTCGAGAGAATTTTTTTTATTTTTAGAAATAATGGAATAGATCCTTTAGTAAGAGGTAATTTTTACTGAAAAAATTTTATTTCGAAAATAATGTTCAAAAAAAAATATTTTTAGGTTTAATGTCATTACCTGCAAGACTGCCACAAAGACTGACTGTTTCTGTAACTGAAAAGATTTTTGGAAATTCTGATTTGGGGTAAAAGTTAAAATTAAAGTAAACACATAAAGTGAGGACTTTTCGGTCCTGGGTTTTCTCGTCTATTTTCGACAAATATTTTTAAACTTTTTGATATAAAGACACAATAGTAATTCCAATTAGATTTCTCATATTTTGAGCTTAATATGAGAAATCTAAAAATAATTTTTATACATATTGCCTATCTTAATCTTGCCATATTAATTTTTTCCACATCGTTCTTTTTATTTTTGTAAGCTAAACAGCGCTTTAGCTATCTAATAATTTGAAATTTTAAGAAGTTAGTGACATTGGCGACTTAATTTTAAAAGAAAATCCCTTCGCTTTTTTTGTGTTGGGAAATTTAACACTTTTTTTGTTAATTTAAAAATAGTTCTATAAAAGCTTTAGTTTTTTGTGAACTGTAATTTTAAAATTAGGAATAAAAAATTTCTTTCAATTAATAAAATTCTGAAAACTTAAACAGATTTACATATTATTTTAACCAAAAATTTGCCGTAAAAAGACTTGGACTATAGGGAACTATTATGTCATTGGGTCAAAGTATTCAATCTATAAATTTTTTAAGAAATCTTTTAAGTGAATTTTGTAAAATTATCGCTAAATTAGCAAGCTGGCAAAATAAAAATAGCTTTAAGATAATAATTTTAATTAATATAAGTATTTAAATTATTTTCGAATGAAAAACGCGCATTCTTTTTTTCAATGTTTTTTAGTTTGTTTTAATTTTTATTTTGATTTTTTGGAAGCTAAGCTTTTTTTACCTTAGCTAATATTTATCTGAAGATTTAAATTAAAAAAACCCCCCTCAATTTCCAGTTCAATCAACATTCAACGAGGGAGAGATCACGGAATTCCGGGATATATTGCTTGGCGTAGTTTATGTAATTTGCCACATGTCAAAGACTTTGCTGATTTAAACACAACAATTAGTAATGAAATTGTGAGGGAAAACTTGAAAATTTTGTATAAAAAAGTTGAATTGATTGATATGTATGTTGGTGCTCTTTTAGAGGATCCTATTGAAGGGGCTCTTATCGGTGGGTTTTTGAAATTTAAGGGAGAATTTTCAAATGTTTTTACAAAAGTTAATATAAATGAGGTCTGCTAGGGGTGGGAGAAGTCGAAATATACAAGGGTTTGATGGACAATGATTTGGAGGGTTATCGGGGTAAATGGGGATTACGGATGATTTTAGGCGAATAAAAAGGGATGCGGAGAGGATAAGACGGACATCGTGGATTTGAAATTTCGGAAGGCCACGGCAAAATGCAATGCAAAGCCAAAAGTTAACGCAAATAACCTAAAACACTATGCGCCCTCTACTTGACCGCTATATAAATCATATTAACAATTTCTCGGATCGGATATCGGAATTTTATGTTTAATATGAAAAATCTGAAAAAAATTAAATGAAATTTAAATTTTCAAAAATCTTTTTTATAAGAAAATTTTAAGAAAGTATAAGAAAACAGCGCTTTAGCTATTTAATGGTAAATTTCCATCTCAGATGTCATTTTTCGTTAAAGAAATTTTTGTAAAAATTATTTTTTTCTTCCAAGCTTTATGGGTTACGAATAATTTGTTATCATTTTGGCTAATGGTTAAAAAATCATACCCTGTAGGAGAAGGGGGATTTTCAAAAATTATTTCCTAACTTTCACATTTATTTTAAAAAATTTTTTTAGGTCCAACATTAGCTTGTGTTGTTTCTAAGCAGTTCAAGGCTTTAAGAGATGGGGATCGGTAAGTTCTACAAAAGATTTCCAACACTATTTTAAGGATTTTCTAAATTATAAAATAAATCTCAGACATTAGGCGAACTTTGAATTTTAATGGTAAAAGTAATCCTAGCATAATCCTTAAAAAAAATTTTTTAGAAGAGGGGAATACGCCATTTCCGTAATCGGGAATTTCCTATAATTTAGCTAAAAATCGTCCAAACATTCTCTCCTTTTCTTCCAAGAATTCAAAATAAACTTTTACCCTAATATATAAAAATTTCGCTAAATCTAACCACAAATAATTTTAAATTATTCTTTTTTTCTACAGATTTTTCTACGAGAACCCAGACATACTTTCCAGTGAACAAATAAAACAAATAAAACGTGCAACTCTAGCTAGAATACTTTGTGATTCTGGCGATTCTATGAAAAAAGTTTGTAAATTTGTTTTTTGAAGGCTTTTTTTCAATGATTAGAATAGTCTAGAAGTTTTCCCAAAAAAATTAAATTTAACAAATTTCAAAAACTAAATTAAAAACTTTTATCTTGAATAATAAAAATAGCTTTTATTGTACTAGTTAGGGAAAGTTCGATTTCTGGAACCGTGGAACCGGTAATGGTCTGGAACCGGTTTGGAACCATAAGCAGTTCCAGAACTGGAACCGGTTCCAGAAAAATTTTGAAACTTTCCCATCACTGATTGTAACTTATTAATTAATACAATTAATTACTTATAATTTATTTTAATAAATTAACAGTTAATTGTTAGGTGGAAATTCAATAGATTTAATTTTTTGGATGTCTAAATATTTAAATTAGACAAATTTATTAATTGGGACGTTTTCTTTTTATTCAACTAGTGATTGAAAAAATAAAAAAATTAGATTCTTAGAATTTGATTAATAAATCAAATAATTTCAAATTTATGATTTTCGTTACCAATCAAGTTTCAAATCCGAACTCAAAAAATTTTTTTATTAAAATTTTGGTTTGACCGATTTCTAATTTATTCTTTCAGGTACCCAGACATGCATTTAATCAAGCAAAGGCTGAAGATCTAATTAATTGTGACCAGATTGATTCACCAAATTATTTTAAATGGAAGGAGGACCAACTTGGGATTTAAATAATTTTTCTAAATAATTTTTTTTATTTGTCCCAATTATTATTTTCAATATAATTTAACTCCTATACACATAATTCTAATATATTTCTCCACTGAAAACCTTATCTAAATTTACGGCGCGTAATTTTTAAATTAAATTTTCATCACTGACCAGTCTAATAAAATATAAAAACCTTTGGGAGAACAAGCGATTCTTTAGAGCTGAATTTTTAATTATAACTGTTTTGGATATCCAAAAATTCCCATAATCCACCAGCTCTGTCCTTAAATTTAAGTTGGTTCTGAACAAGAAGTTTTCATTAGTCTTGAGGCTAAAAAAGATTTTTTTCTAAAAAAGATTTTTTAAAAAAGATTTTTTTCATTTTGAATCAATCCAAAACACATTTCTGTTAGTTTATTTATTTCATCTATTAAATACTTTAAAATTTTGTACACTAATTCTTCAAATATTTTTTAATAATTCCCCTCCGTCTAAATTTTTGCTCAAAATTATTTAAACCCATTCAACTGAATAAAAATTATTTTTTTTTGTATTTTTCTTTTCGAATAATTAATTAAAATAATTTAACTTTATTTTTGATAAAAATTTTCAATCGAAAATCATTTTATTTTGCTTTAGATTAAGTAATTTAATTAGGATTTTATTTTTTTTGTATTTCTCCCTGACCCCTTGTTATGTCTTGCACAACAATAAAATAGCAATACATAAGGTTGGGGTAACAATTAGGAGACAATTAACTGATAATTGTGTGAGGCTTTTATAGTATTTTAATAAGGTTTAAATACTAGCCACTACACTACAACACCCTTCGTGTTCTGAATAGAGTTTGGCACAGTTCTTTATATTAATTTTCTGTTAAAGTAAGCTTTAACATCCAAAAATAATCCAAATGGAACAAAAGAAAAATATATTTTGCCAATGTATTAGCATATTTATTAATAAATTTAGGAATAAATTAAATATGAAGCAATATAAATTTTAGTCTTATCTTTAAATTAAAAATTTATAAATTTAAAGAATATGACTTTTTACTAACAAATTACCAGAAATTAAAATTGTTTTTTTTATCTAGCGTCGAATAACAATAAATAATCATAAAAAAGAGCTAGTATTTTCCTTAAATTGTGGTAATAATCATGTTTCTTAAATTTCCGAAAAAGTCATTATTAGTTCACTAGTCTCAATTATTTTAACTTATAGCGTCGAATAACAATAATAAATTGTGGTAATAATCATGTTTCTTAAATTTTCGAAAAAGTCATTATTAGTTCACTAGTCTCAATTATTTCAACTTATAGCGTCGAATAACGATAAATAATCATAAAAAAGAGCTAGTATTTTCCTTAAATTGTGGTAATAATCATGTTTCTTAAATTTTCGAAAAAGTCATTATTAGTTCACTAGTCTCAATTATTTTAACTTATAGCGTCGAATAA